CACTTAACTCCATGAAGACTCTCAAGCTGAAGTTGTTGCAAGTTAGATTGAAAGGGAAAAAAAAATCAAAAATTTTACCTTTACATGGATTATTTGAAATTTCCTTATCATCCCCTAAATCTAAATAAGAGTAAAAAAACAAGTGTAAGGTATCTTTCCCTACCTATTTTTGACCTCTGACAAACTTCACAAACTAATTATTGTTATAACAAAGTACATGCAGAGTGTGGTGTAAAAGAGCTCAGCAAAGGAGAACATTAATTGGACAAACAACAGGTGAAATGCAACAGAGATGACAGCAGTAAACAGAGTTGGTTAATACAACATTTCTTATTTTTCCAGAAGGAGCCTAAAGAATGCTTAGGACAGCTACTTCTCCGAGTTAAGATGTCTGAAAGGGTTTGACACACAGTGATGCTTTAACTCCCAAGATCCGATTGATAACTCTCCCTACTGGCTTCTACACATTTCCTTGTAAATTAGTTGTGAGAATTTGGTAAAAGATCAAGATAAAAACTTCTACATGATAAGGTTTGAGTATTCTCATTACCTGTTTGCTAGGTAATCTATGAATAATTTATAAAGAAGTTACATCTTGGTCACTTCTGGGAGTTAAGGGTAAAAGACCACTAATGCATACTTTAGGATACATATGTAGCAGATAAGACTAGTCACTAACCAGCAATACTACTCTCTTTAGGTGCTCCACACTTAAAGCATGACAGACGCCTCTTTGAGGAAAAATTCTGACCACCACACTGTTTGAAGAACACAAAAATGATTAAGACAGGATCTCAGAGCTTTTTTTAGGTATTTACTTTAATATCACATTGCATGTATATTCAATAACCATCTTTATGAGACACCATGTACATCCAAACCAACACTATATTTTACACATTTCTAATAATTTGCTAACCTGTTTCATTTTAGGCAAGCTTGGAAAGAGATGACCATTCTTTTAAGAGCATAGAGCTGATGCCTTAACCCAAAACATCTAAGCCCAATTTTTCAAAGGACAGATAACACTATCCTATAGAAAGCTCACTGTCAAGCAGGGAAGGGTAATTGAAACCATTGTACTGCGCTATCCACTGGATACATCTATTGAATAGCATTATCTAGACTTTAAGCAACTGACACATGCCTATTAGGCAGGGCTCATTAAATTTCTTTTTATAAAATCCCCTTGGCCAACAGCATATGAAGGAGATATTTTATCTTTTGCTTTATATTTTACAGCATCAGCTACTGGGAAGCTAGACAGTATTAAATCTCACCTTACTACAAATCCAGTCCTTATCTGCTACAACTGAGGCAGTTTTAGGTCTGCTGTAATCAGCACAGACTCTGTGTCCACGTACATTATACCTCCCCTAAGCAAATTCCCAAATAAAAATTTAAATATTTATTACACAACTCACTTATCATTGAAATTAATTATTCAAACTACACTGCTAAAAAATTGATTCAACCAGCTCATAATAAGAACATTGCTGGCCTCAAATAAACCTGTTTTTATGAGGTTAAAAAATCCCTCTTCCCATAGCATTAGTATAACATTCCTCTCTAATTTAAGCAAATCAAACACCATCCTGACAGTGTAAAGAAATTTAAAATAACCACACTATCACAAAAAATCAGAAATTTCTATTAATTCCCCCACTTCATTCTTGAATAAGTTCCTTTCCAAATGATGTGCACCTCTCCCTTAAGCTCTCCTCTCTGACAAGCTCTTCTAACAATTTTTTCCTAGTGCTTGTTACAGTGTTTTCTGCACTAATGAAAACCAATATACAGTTGTGTACATTAGCAAAAACAGATGTGTACAAATATTTTGTTTGACATACCTTGTGAAGTTCCATCCAGTCCTGCGCATCAGAGACACTTTTAAACTCTAAAAAACCAAACCCCTTGGAAATACCTGTAATAAATGTGACATAACATTTTGAGAAATTTGAGGTTAATATCAAGTAGTTTATTGCACTGCACTACAACAAAACTTGTTTGCTTTGAATTAGCTGGCTTTTGAAAACAAATGTATGGCTTATGAGCATTTCCATGGAAATGATCCACATAGCAAAATCCTGACCAAGTAGGAATTAATCAGAACACCCAGATTTACATCAGGATTATCTTGCCACATACTAAAGCTGGATATTGACTGTGTTCCAAAGAAAAACAGCCAATACACATGTAAATACAACAGATCAAAGTCAACTATAAATTACTTACCACTTCTATGGCGAACCACTCTCAGATCTAAGAAGTCAGTACCATCCCTTTGTAACTCATCTACCATCTAGAGGTAAAGAATCAGATTTACTTACAATACAACTCTCTTCATTCCTAAGAAATTTAAATAACTTTTGCAGTTACGAGGCAATGGCCCAATCTTAACCTTAAGGTCACTGGCTCAGCTGGTAAACTTGGTTTTTTTATATTGTAAAATTGGTTGGTCACTGCCATAAATAACACTTTAAAAAGAGAAATGTAATCATTTGTCTCACAATGTGGTCGCTATAGGATGTAGATCACAATGTTTCCATTGCATACTGCTAGTCTTCTTCAGGTGATGAGGTTGATTTACTACGAGTCACCTATATGCTGAAGTGCTCAGCTATGATTGGACAGAACTCCACAGCTGTGACTGGTGCTTGTTTGTTTGCTTAACTCATTTCTGATACAGTTGAGCATGAAACTGACAGTAAGTACTTACATCTTCCTCTCTGAAGTCCTTATCAAGCCCATGTAGAATAATAACACTTGTTGGTTCTTCCTGCCTGCTGTCCTGAAGTCTTCTGTCATCTCCATCCCTGTCACGAGAGTGGTATCTACTGCGTGAAGACTCCCTGTCCCCATAATCTCTATCACGGTCACTGCGATCATGCTAAATTCAAGGTCATTGATAACAAAGATTATTTAGCTGTGTACAGAAACACAAACACTGCTTGTGTTGGAGATGAAACTGATCCAAAAGATTCTTGTTCATATTCTTGTTTTGAAGTCTTCAATGATAGATAACTTCCTGAGTTTTGAAATAAGTAAACTCTTGAAAACAATTAATCGCTGTGTCAGATGGTCAATGAAATACACTTAAAAAGATGATTAAAAAAATTAACTCATTCCACTCTGCAAAGTTTTGTGATAATTTAGATTACTGATCCAGATTCAATTTGTAGGATCTGTACCACTTACATGCATATAATATTTGTATAGTGTCCCACATTTGAAAATATTGCTCATAGTGATATTTGAATTATGTGGGGAAAAAAATTTAACTTTTGACAAGCTTACAAATTTCCATCATATTTTATCAATAACAGGATGTAAATCATTTCACAAGATAAGGAACAAGTGTACAACTTCATCACTGTGATATCCATCGTTCCTCTTCCAGTCTCTGCTGGTGTATCCTGTTCTGTCTCTGTTATCGTAATCCCAGTCGCGATCTCTATCATAGCCTCTATCACGATCACGATCACGGTCACGATCGCGGTCACGATCCCTGTCAAGGTCTCGCTCTCTGAGTCTTCCATAATCTTTACCACCATCAAAGTCACCAAGGCGATCTTGCCGATCATGATCATAACGGTCTCTGCCCCAATCTTGGTTATTGCGGCTGTCACGATCGTAGCGATCTCTGTCATGAGACCTATATCTATCTCGATCGCGATCTCTACTAATTCTCTCTTTATCATGGTCATTATCCCTGTTTCTTTCTTTATAATAATCTCTGTCGCGCCCAAAAGGATCAGCTGCATCACCACGCCTTGTATCTGGACTTCTGCGACGCTCATCTCTGTCTGTTCTGATGTCCCTAAAGCGGCTCAGCTCACGTCCAATGTCACGTTCAAGGTTGCGGTCTCTGGAATCCTTATTACGGCCATTACTTCTGTAGTCTGAACTTCTCCTCAGATCACTAGGGTCATCTGTCATCCTACATCAGTATTTTAAACCAAGGATGGAAAAAGCGAGTTTAGACTGAAGAAACACAGTTCACTGACCTTACTCACCTTGGGATATCAAAACAACCTTTGACTTTATGACCTTGTGACCTCTACAATAAGTCCCTGATGAACCCTAATGGAATATTCTTACAAATTTGTTTGCTGCAAACCAATGGAATCCCAGCAACCATGCCTTGGGATCATGAAGCAGTGAAAGGTCAGAGGTCAAGCTGTTAGGTTGTAAGGTTTCACAAACTCAATTGTGATTTCTGATGCCAAATCCACAAAATGCAATTCCCATTTTTGATGCACGAATATCCATGAATAGTACAAAAAGATGCTGATGAAATCTTTACTCTTTCAACGTAATAGTCACCATTTCATATGCAGCAAACTACAGTACATGAATACTGCATGGATACAAAACAAACCACATTGCACAACACTGAATTATGTTAGACATAAAGTTCAGAACCTTTCAGCGGTGTCTTCCCGCCTAATGTCCATTTTGTTAGCTTCTGAATAAGGAAACTGTCCGCCGATAAACTTGGAACTGAAGATCGGGAGCGACCTACAAATCCTTCGATCGACCAACTACAACAGTGACCTGAAATTGATACGAGGATAAATGTTCAGTAAAACGATCTAATGAGGTAAAATGCAACCCAAAAACAAGGTTCGGAATGTTCATCTCTTTCGACACGAGGACAAGGATGCTATTTCCACGTAAAGTGCACGCTGAGAGAAAAGTGATGCCAATAGTCCCAAGATGGCGGCGAGGAGTAACGAGCCAGCGTGGCTTTCTGCAGACAGATCCGAGTCACTGCGAGCGAAAGACCTGTGGATAAAAAGTTAGCTAAAAGAATTCACGGCAGTTTTTAGTTCTCAATACAAACCTTTCGTTTATTGGCAAAAGCGAAGGATAATTTCAGTTACAATTAGCTCTCATGTGTCTTGTTTTTGATAATTATTCTATGAGGTACGGATGCTCAGCCTTCACACGACTGGTTACTAAGCAGGTTTCCCGCGCATGTCTTCAAGACACTCAAAACAAGATGGCGGAGGAAACTAAAGGCAGCGGTTCAAAGGTATTTCAAACGAAAACCCAAGAATCTTTGATCACTTTATATAATTTGGTTCCTCCAGTTGTTTAATTTTTGTAGGCGATCTCGTTCAATTTGTTCCAAATTTTTGATCGAGAAATTAAGTTTTTGATTGTGCAAATGAAATGTTATTAAATATCATGTAATTTAATTAAGATGATAAATTTCACTGATTGATTTATTTTCGCGGTATAATTGATTATACCAATTTCAATTTTTAAGAAATAAGCCTTCAATAGCATTGGAGTGATACGGGGATTTGAGCCGGTGATCTCACGCCCCTGCTCTAACTAACTGCGCCGTGAAGTCACTTCAAGTGCAGTTGTTTGTATGTCAGTTGCAGCTGATTTTTTTGCTGTGAAATCGATGAAATAAGTTTTAGAGTTTGATGAATCATATATGATGAACTGTTGTGAGGAAATGAAATGACTGAATGATCTTTGCTATGAATTACACAAAATTGGAGCCAAGGGGAAAAAAAAAATTAAGAACCTTCATTTCTTCCCTTTCATTACACATACTTGCATGTACCCGATTTTAATCAACCCCCCCTTATCAAGAGGTTCAGGGGTTTCAAAATAAGTCAGTGACTGCTGAGGTTCTGCCAGTTACTCGATAACATGTCACTGGTTACTCTGGTCAAAATTATTACCTTTTGGCCTTACTGAACTTTTTCAAAGTCACTGACTTTTGCTGAGTCTGACACCTTTAAAACATTTTGAAACCCTTAGAGGCTCCCTATATTAGTCATTACAATAGTGAATCAGGGTGTATCCCAAAATCTTAGGATCAAATCATGTTGAATTCTAAATTTGTTTTCCATATTTTCATTCTATTCTGAAGCTCAAGGACGTAGCTCGTAAATTTAATGTCCTACCTGAAAGACAAGCAAAGGTGAATTACATGATTGCAGCACGAGAGAAGGTAGAGGCTGCAAAGGTAAAAGTACCCATCCTCCAGTCTTGAAATTCAGCACCAGCTATTAATTGTACCTTATAGCTGTATTTATTTCTTCATTTTCAACAGTATTTATCATAACCTGCTCTCTCTACCTTTTGTTTTAGCAATAGATCTATTAGTCATTTGCTCTGCTTGCTATACTTGCTGTGCTTGGTTATGTATTAGTTAATTTAACTTTGAAATTGTAACTACATAGCTATTATATCATTTAGCTTAACCCTGAAACTCCCACAAGTGATTAACAAGTAACTTCTTCCTTCAATTTCTAAACATTATCCAGCAAACAGGTAATGAGAGTATTCAATCTTATCAGATCAAAGTCGCTATCTAGATCTGACACCAAATTCTTGTAACTTATTTACACATTAAGGAAATGTGTAGCAGCTAGAGGGGAAAATTAATAATCAGATCTTTGGAGTTTAAGGGTTAATGTTCGTTCTTAATTTTTCCAAATACCTGCAAAGATTAGCCAATGCTATACCTTGGTTGTGTAAATTGTGATATTGGAATCTGTGCTGC